TGGACTGCAGGTGCAACAATGGAGGGTCAGATTTCTTTTATTCTGTTATGAATCCCTGCAGCAACTTTGCTGTGTAATATTTAATGCATGTGATGCATTTAAAAACACTCACTGCAGGACAAATGGACAAATGGACTTTGTGGTGACGTGTTGTTTGCAGACATGCTGGAGAACACTTTGATGATTCATGTGTAAGTTTTATGTCCTGTTCAGCTGGATAAAAATATCTGGGATAGATGGTTTCTCAGAGCTCTGTAGTGTGTTAAACAGAGTTAGGTTTCATAAACGCTGAGAGGTCTGTCATTGGTCTGTTTGGGATTAACGCTCACAGCACCGACCCATTTAAACCATCTACAGTCCTGTAAGCAAACGTTCCCACTTTCATTTAATCTGTTGTTGTGCATTTAAGTATATTTTTACTGCCATGTGTGCAGACTGCTGCAACTAAAACACTTTCTGTGTGAATGACCATGAATTTTCTCTAAACTCCAAATGCAGGTAAAGTAACGGTTCGATAAACTTGTTTTGTGCGACGAGGCCCATCTGACCAATCAGGGCTGTCGGGGTCGACATCAGCAGGACGGTGGATTCATTCCCGTACGTATGCTGCTCTGTCAGAAACATACAGCACATCTAACAGAGCAGGAGAAAGACTCATTCAGTCGTCACGCCGGGTCAGTTTGCTCTGTAGCACCATGTATGAGGCCTTCGTCAGCCAGTTAGACATAAACCAGTGCACGCTCTTCCAGTGCACGTTCTTCCAGTGCACGACGTTCCAGTGCACGACGTTCCAGTGCACGTTCCTGCTCCATGAGAGGATCCAGCTGCTGCAGTGCCTCTTAAACCTTCGGGCTCACCTGCCTGCGACCCAGATCAGCTTTCACGTCTCAGGTGATAAAGCAACTCAGCCCCTGCGTGACGTATCAGGTCACTCCAGCCCAGTGCCTCTCGGGCCGACGGTATCCCCGTTTCTAAACTGTTTTACAGCCAAGTGTCCACCGACCAGAACACTTTGATCCACTAGGGTTCATCGTGTTGCCGCTCTGAGACGATGCTGTCGTCGGTGCTTCACCGAGGAGCTTTAGTCTCGCTGGTAGAGAAGAGTCGGGCAGATATCTCGATGTCTCGCATGTGTGCAGCAGCAGGACACCCTGGGCCCGCGGTGCACACACGGAGGAGTCGTGTCAAACGCACAAGTCGTGTTGTTTCTCCTGTGACTGTGGAAGATATTAAAGCTGCTCGTCAGTCATCAGGAGTCCTGGTGGCGTCTTGGTCACGTTCTGAAGTTTTGTCGAGGTTCTTGCAAAAAACTGCACGCCAAGTTTGCACCAAATATTCACGAGTGTGAAGCTCTGTGTTGAGTAGCGTGTGCTCCAGGGTTAGCTCCAGGTAATTGATGAACGAGCAGCTTCTTCCCTCCGCCCTGTCTCATGGCTCCTGTTCCAGTGCTGGATGTTCACATCAAACACGGCCGAACTCCCAATAAGAGC